GTCCCAGGCCCCACCCCCTGCTGCCAATCAGCTGGCCAGAGGGGGGACTTACCAAGAGCAGGAGGGAGGCCCAGGCTACATTGCAGGTGATGCGGCAACATCACTTCTGGTGTGTACTGGAAGTGACATCCTCACGTCAGTGATGTCACGGTGGCACTCTGGTATTTGGGCAAAAACTTTATGGTAGCAGCCATTTTTAACATAGAGTTCTTGCTGAAAAAAACAGAGCATTGCCATGATGTCACAATGTGCTTATGTCACTTCAGGTATGTCCCCATGTTGCCAGCAACGTAGCTTGAGCTTCCCTCCTGCTCCTGGTAAATCCCACCCCACAAGTTGCTAAGAGGAAGGACCTGGCAACCCTACAGATGACTGAGGTATGTGAGGGTGGGAATAAAGAGGATGTGGGGATCCCCCTATTTGACTTTTGTTCAAGGCCCCATAACCACTAAGACCATTCCTGTTGTTTGCCCATCATCATCATAGAAAGTGGTACTAAAACAAAAGACTATACTGTGGCTCAATCACACCAACTCATGGTTTGAGTTTCCAAACATACAACAAGCAAACTAAGATTTGAAGCAGCTTTAATTTTCCACCCTCTCAGCTACCAGTTCACACATTATGGAGTACACAGGTTGGTTCTGGGATCCCTACTCTGTGTAACAGTCAGATACGAGTTACAAGTTCTTAGTTCTTGCACACGTGGTGCGCAGTTAGGATTTGAACACCCGAGTTTCCCCATTGAACCAAACATTGCCTTGCGACTGTTTCAGCTCAGATAAGTGGAATGAAGGGAAAGGGAGAACTGAGCACTATGAGCACAGGAATTGAGGAGAACCAGCATGTCATGTCTGACTGTTATACAGGGGAGGGCCCCCCAGAACCAACCCGTGTACTGCATAACATGTGGATTGGATTCATGATCACTCCCATTTCCATCATGCAATAGCTTTTGCAGGCAGAGCAATGACTGTGACTACATTTATTGACTGACACCAAACCACATTTGGTTGGCAAACCATATCTTATGATTTAGGTTTGTTGGCCAGTTACAAATCATGGTTTGCCAACTGAGGCATTATACCAGACCATACTTAAGTTCCCTCAGCCATGTTCTGACATGATGCCAGGAGGACTGAGCCAGTAACATTGCAGACAGATATATCAGTGCAAATGTTTATAGTGCTTTTGCAAGACCAGCTAATCTGACACAGGAACCAAACTGATGTTTATTTCTGAAAACACTGTTTAACAATATATCCAGAATGCCAACTTCTGAAATACTGCAGCGATAAGAATTTTGTATCAACTATGTACATTGGTAGTGCAAAAATATCACATATTTAGGCATCAATCCTGAAAAAATATTTCAAAATATATTTCAGCACTTGACATCCAAGAGTTTTACTTACTGCTCATATTTTAGCCATTGATTAAATCAGTGTTTACCAAGTTATATGATGGCGTAGTTTTAGCACACCTGCCTTTTCTCAATCAAAAGATAAAAACTCAGTGAAAATAACAAAGGGTAGCATCACCTGAAATTTTCATTAAGCATTGCTCAGGATGATTGAAATAACACAAATACACTATCCTGTAATACGTTTCCTGCCCTGCAATCTAAATTCTTCCCAAGAAAACAAAAATATATCCTCCTGGAAAGATGCAGTGAGTCAACTAAGCATAAGGAAAATGCTATTCCACAAAATGTGTAATGCTGAAACTTGAAAACATTTTTTTTTAATTAAGAGGTGCAACTCATAATTTCCAACACTTCTCTATCCTCTGTTTTCTTATAAATCAATTTTGGTCTGTCAGTCTTGTGTAATTAACACACTCTTGTTACAAATTCCATTGGATGCAGTGAGACTTACTTCTGAATAAATATGCTATAAATATGTAATATTTATTTGGAAATGAGTTATACTCAAGTAAAAGAGAGTTCTTTTAAAGTAAACATGATTAGGATTAGGATGTAAAGCATGCCAGATTGTGTCATACATGAGGAAGAGACATGTCTTGCATTTGCAATGGATCGGACAAATGCAATGCCAACAGAGGCCTGTATCAGCTATTTTAAAAATGTAGGTAAGTACCCTTGCCACATAGACCCTAAGCCAGAAACGTCTTAGGGCAGTCTTTGAATCCTCTCATACAAAGGGGTTTAAGGCAGTCTCTTGTGTCAAGGTTGCCATGTGCAGAATATTTTTGCTTTATAAACTGTATCAGAAGCCTAATCTGTGATCCTGAATTCACACTCTTAGAAGTATGGTCCATTGTAATCAGTCGGACATTCTTTTAAGTAAATATGTTGAGGACTCAGATGTATGGAGCAATTAAAAGGAATGTTATCTACTTAAAATGCAAAAAGTATTCATTACTGTATTGTATTGTATTATATTATAAAAATGGCAGGAAAACCAAACAAGAACCAAGACTGCAAATATCACACACTTAAATGCAGAGAACAAAGACAAAGTTGCTAGGTAGAATATGGGTATAATAAATAAACATAATATATTTTAATATAGTTCCACTATCTTATCATTACAAAGGTACTTATTAAGGCAACTGTCTTTGTGAAATCATGTACTTTACATTTCACCATTAAGACATCAGAAGTGGGAGCTATATAACGGAAAGCAATAAGTTTTCCATTCACAGAGCAAGAGCTATCAATTATGAAGTACGCATGGACACAAAAGCGTATACCCAGAATCAAATTTTGTTTGTTTTAAAAGTGCCACTGAACTCAAACTTTGTTCTATCTATTATGTGTACCTCTTATTCCAACACCCTAACATCTAACATTAACATATATAGATTCTAGATAGCTGAACCAAAGTGATCTTGTCCTAGATCACAGATGCATCCTCTGTCTTTTCCTATTGCTGTATTTCCCAGTCTTCATTGGCAACTGCTTTATTTTAGCTCTCAGGAATCTAGATAGAGATCAGTTAAAAATTAAATCAAATTCTGTAGTTCAAAGCCTTGCCCCGAGGATCAAAGGTAAAGATAATAGCCAGCAGGTCCAATCAAGTTTCTGTTATCTCATTTTAATTACCCTATAAACAATACATCATATAACAGATTTGTGTAAGTGTACTGTACCTATTCTGAATGGGTAATAGAATAGCCATGTCTATAAATATTTTATATCCCTTTTTATGATCAACAAGTACTAAACAAAATTTTTTTTGGAAACCAACACACTAGTGACATTATGCAAGAAACAAATTCGGTTTCTATGAAATGTGCCGCAATTCCTGTTCTAAGAATCCCAAGTGAACAAGGCTTTGACTCTGAACTGAGATCCCCATTTTCCCATTTGTACAGCACCGCCTCAAGACACACCAAAATAAGGCAACAGCATACAAATACTGAGAAGCCACAATGGATAATATTTTCCCAGCTTGTAAGATAATCACATGTTATACATTAATTCTTATGTGAACTGTTCTATGAGAGAAATGTTCCAATACAGGTGGGTATTTAATACTCCTCACCAGTGCTTTCCCCCCATTCAGGCTCACCAAATTCACTGCTTATTCACTGTACATGACAGACAGATGATTTATGCCTGTAGCCAGAGATCACACTTGTACAGTCTATATCTCCAGACAATGAATATATTACATGAAGTACAGTATGGCGTAGAGGTGCACTAAGGATCCTAGTCCTCAAAGAACGGAGTGTGCAGCAGTCTTCTTCAACGTAATTAAGAGAGTGATTTGGTGATTCACAATGGAATTCTAATCAGAGTCACACCCTTCTCAGTCCACGGAAGTTAATGATCACTGGAACAGAAGGTATAACTCTAATTAGGATTGCACTATAATGCTTACAGTTTTGATGTGAACACGGATTGTCTGCATTCTAATGGCATCGTTCATGATGATGGTTAAAATGTTCATATGTGGCTATACTTGTAAGATCTTGGTAATTAGCTACTGAAGATTTCATGGTGCACTGAAAGTTCCACATTGGTGTCCAGGCACCACGTTTGGGAAGTCTGCACTAGAATCACCATGCCCTAAGCTTTCTACTGCTTGGGTGTCATAATGTGGCAGACAGATATGTGTCTCTGTTTGCCCTAATATTTCAGAACCACCCCCTAAATCTAGATCATCACTGTGTCATCGATACAACCCTTCTTTAAACTAAATCCCAGGGACTATGAATTTCATTTCACTATAAGCGATAACTGTTTTAGCAAAACATGGTATTCCACACCCATTACAGGTGTCAGCTAGTTTAGCACAGTTATTGGATGGTCTCTGTATTTTTCTTGATTACATAAATTGATCCTGTACCTTCCTGAATTTCATGACACTCTGATCCTGCTTATTTGTCCCCCTCCCCATATTTCCTACATAAAATGACAATAATGGGGATCTAGAGCAAGAAAGTTTCTGACGGAACAAAATTGTGTGGGTTTTTAAGGTGCCACAAACAGACTCCAGTTTATATGATCTCCTGGAATGCTCCTACAGAATAGATATCCCAAGTTACAAACATTAATTTGGAGGTCCTACAACTAAATTCACATGCATTTCTACAGAAGAGCTGGTTGTCATAAAACAAACCTTTAGGGTCAAGAAAGATTTACAGTTTGTGCAACAAACTCAAGAAGTAACCACATTTCAGGGATGCACTCCTGATCCCTTTGCATATAGTTACTAGATCCCTCCTTCTTTGGCTATTTTGGAAATGGTTGCCCTTTTACTTTATTTGCTCTCCACCTTCCTTGCTTCTTTGCTATCTAGGTGGGTCTTCTGTGATGCCATCTGGGACCCAACCTAGACCCTAATTTGTTCCTTAGCACCTAGGAATTTGGCGGTGAACCCAGCCGGGACCGAAGGCTGTAAGGGAATCCCTGCGTTTGCCGGGAGCGGCTACCGGTGCCTCTTCCCCTCGCCCCCCACCCCACCCCGGCCGGCCGCCGCCTCCATTCCGGTGGCTGGCGAAAGGCGCCCCTACCGCGCGCCACAACTTACAGGTATGAGGCGAAGATGCTGAGGTTGGCGGGCACGCTGGTCAGGCCCAGGTCCGAGCAGTCCACTCTCAACAGCATCCCGTCGGGCTCACAGTGACAGGTGGCCGGGCAGCTCCTCTGGCGTTTGCTCGCAGCGCTGCCCGAGCCTTTGGCAGGCGCCGCATCCAGCCCGAGCAAACCGAGGAGAAGGAGCGCGCGGGCGGCCACCGCCGAGGAGGTGTCCATGGTGCCAGGGCGCGGGGGCGGCGAGGAGGGCGCGGGGGCTTTGCTGAGCAGCCGAGGGCGCCGCTGTCATCCCCCGGGGTGGTGACTGGAGGAGGGTGCCGAGAAGCGCCGCCGGCTCTTAGCTGGGCTCGACGTTGGGAGCCTTCCCGCCTCAGCTCGGGATGTGCGTCGTGTGCGAGGCGGGGGGAGGCTTAGCGCGGCAGACGAAGCCGGCGCGTCTGTCCCTGGACCTTGTGGCGCAGTCGGGACGCCGCTGGCGCGCTGCTCTCTGTGGCAGCATCTCAGTTTACACGCCGTTTTAAAGAGTTGGAGTCTGAACCGCGCGCGCCCACTGACGTCGCCCAAACGTTGCCCGTCGCGGCGCTTCCCCGGCTCCTGCCAGCGCCTGTGGGAGGGCTCAGGCGAGCCAGAGAGCTCGCGAAGGGGCGGGGCTCTGGTTGGTGTTTTGTGGTGTGTGGGGGGGTGGCTGAGCACGGGAACACAAGAAGTGGGGGGCGCCGCGAGGCCGGGAGCGGAGTGCGGCAGGCGCGCAGGCGCACGCTCTTGGGTGAGGGGGTGGGGTTGTTTGTTACCTCGGCGCTGCAGCCTTTTTGCGCCAAATTAAGCAGGGCGGAGGCGTCGCTGGGCAAGCGCTCAGGCCTGTGAGGTGACTGCAGTGCATCGCTAACGATGGAGAGCGTCTCCCTCGCCTCGCACACAAATTACCTCACGCTCAGTAAAAATAAACAGAAGTCTTGTGACACTTTAAAGACTGACAAAGTTTTGGTCCCGTTTAAGCTTTTGTGGACCAGAGCCCACTTCTTCAAATGCAATGTGTT